GGTATCTGAGGACAGTCATGTCGGTGAACTCTGATTAGCCTCGATAAGGCGTTCAACTTGTTCAAGCTGGTATAACGGGTGTTGTGTCTGCTAGGTTTGAGGCAGAAATAAAAAGCGAACACCCTCGAACACCATTAAGGTCATTACAACTATATATTCATCTCGGAGTGTTTGGTTTGGGAGCAAACCAACATTTATATCTTCTTCAGCTACAATATAAAATGGAACAGTGTTCGAAAAAAGACTAAAAGACACCCCTTCCTACAGCGTATAAATGGTAGATATATACAGTAACTGCAGTGGGAGTACGAAGAAAGAAAAGAAGAAGTAAAAGAATACACGTAAAAGTAAATAACTTATAGTTACTAAAAAAAAATATCGTTTTGTAAAAACACAAGTCGATGAGCACACAAACATGATCGGAAGATTTAAAAAAAGCGTCAATATGGAACACAACCAAACTGGCTATATGGTACAACTGAGGTGGGGTAGGGGAGGGAACAACTAGAATTAATTAATTGCATATTTAAAGGCCTATCTAAAGCATTGTCACTAGCTGTATTTTTGACGTCACCCACGTATGGTAACACGTCTACGAGAAGATTTAGTTACATACAGTGAGACATTTGATCACGTCAGTGACTAAGTTAAGTACAACTCTATGTCCGCCTTCGATGAGGAAACTGAAACCAAACAAGCACGGCATGGCGATCTGTGATCTACTTCAGTGTAATCAAGTGGCCGTGTTCAACAGCAGTCCATGTCTACATGGAGCCAACACAGAACATATAGTAACAACTAAAACAAAAGTTATCAACTCACCATTTAAGTGCATTCCTTGACTACAAATCTCACTGATCCAGTTAGAGATATCGAGTAGCGCTTCCCCGTCCAAGTTATCGTAGTCGTAGTGGCCGCTGGCGCAAATATCATTCTCAGAGCTGATCGATGAAGCCGTGCTGCTCAAACTTGGTGCCGGCGAGTGAACAACATTGGAGTTTTGTCCAATCAGGAATGTGTTTATTATATTATTTTTCTCCGCAGTTTGGAATGGAAACAATGAGTCCGCATTTTTGAAATGCTCGTTACGAACAGACTTGTAATAATGCTGTAGAGCCACAAAGTCGTTCTGATGTGAGCCGATGATATTGGTGCTGATAATGTTCATGTTAACATCGCTCATATATGACCGTAGCAATGAGGGCGAGGCTGGAATGTCTGTCTGATTGCTGTCGCCTATCTTGTTTGTGTTGGTGGTGCTGCTGGAATCGTCCTGAGCATTGACCATCATTTGCTCAGGCGACACCTCCATATAATTGTCGCACTGCTCATCGTCCATAGAAATTGGTGAGAGTTCGGTGAATCTCAGAGCAGACGCGGCAGTGTCCCTAATTGTGCTGGCATTAGCGAATCCCAGAGCTGTTGTGCATGTTAGTGGGTCCCGGCGTAATGCCGAGGGACTGAAAGCTACCAACTGTTCCTGCTGTTGTTGCAGCTGCTGTTGCTGGTCGCGTTGTGTGTGTTGCTGCTGTACCTGTTGCAGCTGTTGCTCTTGACGCTGCTGATGAGGCGCTTGTTGCTGTTGTTTAATCTGTTTAGCGACCTCATCATGTAGTGGGATTTGTCCTCGGCTGAGTTGCTGCTGAAGTACAGACACATATTCTGTTTTCACAACGACTGCTGGCTGGTTTTGACTCTGAAGTTGTCCTGCCTGCTTATGTTGCTGCTGGTGATGTTGAGGTAACGACGACAGTATGATATTTTGGGCGAAAACTGATGAGACGGGAGATGTTGGGATAGCATCTGTGTCCATAGCAGCAAGCTGTTCCAGCTGTTGGCAATGTTGAGACGACGGAAACTGCTGGAACTTTGGTTCGGGGCTGCCCAAACTGGCATCGTTGTCTGTATCACTCACAGAATAGGCACTGTTCTCAATAGGGCTGTCAGGCTCATTCTCATCTATGACGGTTGGAGAACCGAGAGCTGGCAGCTCTCCGTGAAGAATCATATATAAATCCTTGATGTACTGAGCTGCTGATCTTAGAGTCTGAACCTTAGACATCTTCTTGTTCTTTTTGCCATTGGGAACATGCTCTCTTAGGGTCTCAAAGCCCAAGTTCACTTGCTTTACCCTGTTTCTCTCTCTGGCGTTGCGTCTGGACACAGAAGCTGGTTTAGCATCTGGAAGACCAAGCTTACTCAGATCTGTGCGACGCTTAACTCTCAGAGCTCCCGATGGCTGATCCAGGGGTTTGCCAATTTTCTTGTCTTGACGTAAAGCCTGCATCTGCTCAGCGACTGTTGCTGTCTTCACGAAGATGTACGGTGTGATGGTGATGACGTTGCTGGCAGGGTCGTGAAAAGCGCTCACTGGAATACTGATGGTGGATACTGAGGTACCGGTCGAGTGTATGGATGACGACGATGAAGAAGGGGGTTTCGCAGATGCTGCTAGCACTGGTGATATTTTGGCTCCAGCCATAGCTATAGCAGCAGGCATTTGAGAGAACTGTTGTGACAAAGTCGACGGCAACCTGTTAATGAAGGTGGTCATTGTTAATTAGTGATTCAACAAGTGTTAGGCTGCAGGCTTCTTCTATCTAATGTAATTCTTATAGCAAATTATGCTTCTACAAAACTATACACATAACACATAGTTGCTAAAAAAGATCGATATTAGTGCAAATATATCGAAGACATTTGCCTAACATAGTGACAGTATCCGAAAACACGCTAGTTCTGTCCACAAACCCGGTTATCTTTCTGATTCCTTCTCCTGCTCCTACAAGTCTCTTCTTCCGGAGCATCAAGTGCGACTGGCACGAGCCTTGTCTGACGCTCCTTGTGCACGCGTGCGCATGTGCGGCCGCGCTTGGGTGTCAGGGTCGCGTGCCTTCTCCCGATCCGCTCGCCAACCTAAGGCGTTGACAGGCTGGTCGCCTATCGTCAACCAATAGCGAGCGGTGTAGCTCACCTGTCAAACGGTAGCTCTGCCTACCGATGGTCCAAAGCAGGGATGCGGACACGCCTTCCCAAAATTACGGGTGGATAGGCACCCCGCCACTACTATCACTATTTACTGCGCCCTTCCCCCCTTTCTTGTACACCTACTCCAAACTGAAGGTGTATACGTCGCGCGCTCCTCACGTGGCAAGTTCTAGTTTACCTCGTTACCCATTCATTGCTTCCCTTTGAGGTAACATAATGTTGGGGGGAACAAGTTTTTATCAAGTCGGCAGCAACAACTTGCAGGTAATGCAGGATCGAGGGGGTGAGGGGTGCAGACCGCAGGATGAGAAGGGAAAAGGAGTTAAGGGGGAGGGGGGGGTGTGGGGCGGGTCTGCTTCTGAGTCATAATCATTTGATATTAACTTGCGAGCCAGGATTTTCATTTTGAAATTCTGCTTTGTTCAAATCAACAAGTTCCTTTTGAAATATGTTTGCCCATATACAGGCCTTCTCTACTACCTTCTGCCAGTACGCCAACTAATCCAGTCACGTATCTATTTACTCTAGTACCATTTAACTCTTGTTTGTTGGTTTGTTGTTCCTCTACTTCTTTGTGTTGACGGCTGTAAACTCAGAAAGAAAGTCTTATTTTTTTTTAAAATCCACTTCTGGTTCCTTGCCTCTCTGGCAGATGCACTGCGATTTTGAAGGAAACCTTTCAATAATCCACTCTGACCACATGCTTGTTACGGAGGAATTCCCCCCCCCCCACACCCTACTCTAATCCCACAATGGAAAAAAAAGGGGGGGGGGGGTAGGTTTGGGGAACACGAAATTTAATATAGAAATATTTTATTCATTAGGGTGGAGGGGGTGGAGGGGGGATACGAGAATTAAAAATAGATAGATTTTGTTCTGTAAGGGGGGAGGGGTGGAGGGGGGATACGAGAATTAAATATAAATAGATTTTGTTCAGTAAGGGGAAAGGGGGGGGGGTTGGTATAGGGGGGGGGGAATAGGAGATTTAAAATAGATTGATTTTGTTCAGTGAGGAAAAGGGGGGGGGGGGGTTATACAAGATTCAAAATAGATCGATTTTGTTCAGTGGAGCCCATGTCCCGTACAGTCAGTCTGTCGTCTTTGTCCGCAGCTGCTCGTCCACACATTGCTTTTCCAGGTCGGTGTCAGCCAGTCTGTCATTATGCTCCTTTCTGGCTTTCCCTCGGCATGCCTACAGAACGAACAGTTTCTGCATCTCTTGTCAGCTGGAGTCCCCCACTAGACACAACCACGATTCTGTTTATTTGACTTGGAACTTTTTAGTTTTCGGTAAAAGAACAAAATTTTCTCCCGAACCTGTGGATTATTTATTATTTTATAAGGTCGGCCTCTGTGGCTTAGGCGTTGCGACCGCGCTTCGTGATGTCGGGGTGCCGGGTTCGATCCCTGCTGCAGACGGTTTGTCAAAAATTTGTCTAGTAAAACCACAACAGCCAGAAAGTGCTGTGGTTGGTTCTGCAACGTCCTGTAAAGGATACGCGTTCGCATCGACTTAGCCACAGAGCCGACTCAATTATTCTATAGTTTACTTTTATGAAACAACTTTCACCCGCAGCTGTTATCAAGTGCGCAAAAAGCCGACACAATGTATACATTCCTTCCTGGAACTCTAGATAAAAACTATAATGCCAGATATCAACAACAACTTCGAAAAGTCTCGGCACAATACAAAAAATACAGTTTCAAAATAAGAGTTAATGTTTTTAATTCTAGCGGGTTTCCAGTTCCAGCATACGTCTGTAAGCTACAGAAAATCTTCAGGACCCCACTTTTAGGGAGAAAAGAATAGACCCACTGACCACTAACAAGCATGTCGTAAGAGTCAACTAATTATGGATGTTTCTAGGGACCTCGCAAAATACGGATATTATAGTTTTGAAACAAAGTTACAGGTTTTTATTTCTAGGGTTATTCCAACTGCAAAATATGTGCCTGAACTACACAGACTTTACCCGGCCGATTTTCCCCCGGTGGGGTGGGGTGGGGAGGGGGGGGGGGGGTTGGAATATACATTCTGCCCCATATATGCATGTCGCGAAAGTCGATCAGTCAGAGTGCTATCTGACTGAAAGACGAAGACCCAACATCATCATCATCATGTGCCCTGCCAACTGGCGTAGGCGCTCATGCATACAGATCACGATCCCTAGTTGCCTGGAACAGCTCTTTCGATGATATCCCTCCATGCCATCGTTTCAGCCCATCCAGCCTCATTTCTCTTGTTCTGCCTCTATACCTCTTTTCACTGATCTTTCCAGTTGTTACGATGTTTTCCAATGTCTTTCTTCTCATTACGTGGGCAAAGAACAGTGTTTGCCTCTTTCTTATTGTTGTACATAGAGAACTACTATATAGATGACCAACAGTCGCGTACCAATTGACAAATTTGTAAAACGGATGCGCACGAAAAAAAAAAGCGAAGCTCTAGAACAAGACCAAAGTCTAGAATATTCTGCAATGTTTTAAAAAAAAAAAAAGCCTGTATTTAAGTGATCAGACTGAGTTTGGTTTAGTCTTTAACAATACGGAAATGGCATTGACTAGCCTCATTCGCCCTTTGTGCCTTAATGAACATAATTTTTTTATGTCTGTCGCCTTGCACCCTTGCACCCCTCCCCCTCTGTTTCTGCGTGTGTGTGTGTGTGTGTGTGTGCGCACGCGCGCGCGAGTGCACTGTTAACAAGATATATTGCAGTCAGACACTTCAAAGACATATGTGTGGGCACAGGTCACGTGATCGTCACAGAACAAGTAGTTTAGTAAGAAGAATTACGAGCCAAGCATCCCAACCCTGTTATACCAGCAGGTCGTGTCTGAGCCAGGAACCGTTCTACCGTTGGATACACGTCTTACAGGTCGCTTCCCAAATGCGACACACCACCTGTTCCGCGTATAACGTGTCCTGCTTTTCTGTGCGCTTCAGCGATTCTTTGTTTGTTCGATTAAACCCCAGCAACCCTTTCTTTTTCTTTTGTAGCTTTTCTTAGATACCACTAGAATTGCAGTTCATCGTCGACGGTAGCAGCTGAGACAACAAATCAGTAATGGCACACCCTTAATATTGCCTGCATAAGGCGCCACTAGTTCTACGACAACATACCATTCGCCATTTTCTAAATTTGCAGATCACAAAACTTTTGATATAGTCGAAAAAAAAAAACATTCTAGATGAAATTCACGGCTCACCTTGTGGGCGATGACACTATATACTTGGAGAGTTCAATATACATATAGGGGAAAATACAACAGCTAAACTGACCAGAAGTAAACAATTTGCCAAGTCAACAATTATTGACCGTCTATCCGAGATTTTTTAAAAATCTAGGCTCCGTCAAGTAGAGTGCGCTTTGACTTCTGATTGACTTGGGCAAATCAATGTATTTATTTATACGTATGAATTCATTTTATATGCTTTTTTAGGACTAGGTTTTATTGGTTAGTATGAACGCAGAATAAACAGCATCCTTTCTCGAAAGCTGAAAAATTTTGGTTATATCAAGCGCCACAACGGATTGGAAAAAATCATAGCAGAAGGCATAGTACCAGGAAGGAGGGGCAGGGGCCGACCGACACGAAGATGGGCACAGGATATAAGTGACTCCTTGAGTGTGAAAGTGCAAGAGGCGGGAGACCTGGCGAGAGACCGAGTTTCATTCAGGCAGACTGTGATGAGAGCGACGTTCTGCAAAGGACCTGCCACATGATGATGCTGATGAAACGCAGTTAGTGGGCACTGGGTATGTCAACGTTTAGTCAGTCCTCATATGAAGCAGTCCTGCCACGGTATCTCCAACGACTGCTCCACACAGAGTTGGTTACAATGTCTCCTATTTTGATTTCGAAGACGGCAAAGACATGCCTGACCAGGTTTCAACGCCAGGTTGATGATCGATATGTACACTGTACACACGCAACGGAGTCGGTCATTTAACCGCGTAACATCCTTAAAGATTGATTCTAGACCTATCTTACCATACGTGTCTGATTCTTTTATCAGTGATTGATTACCAGATTAGACTGAGATTAAAAAAAAATTATTAACTCATAGTAGTTACTGCCGTGTGCATGTCAAGTCTTAGGCAATGACAAAAAAGTCTGAGAACACCCGTGCCCTTGATCTTCTTCTTTCCATGCCAGAAAAAGATGAAAATGGTCTGGAATAGAGCTAGTGGGAAAAACTGGGAAAATACAGTAATCCTGAGCCGCGTTAGCGCAGTGGATAGAAGGCTCGCTTTCAAATCCAGCTGCAACTCACTGCATCCACGGTCGGTGTTCGAAACCAGGGAGTTCCGGGGTTCACCTAGCCTCTAAGAAATGGGTATCAGAGTGAAACTCTGGGGTAAATGGAGTAACATCGCTGGAGCTACAGAGTTACGTGCTGATGGCGACACAGGCAGACAATTCTTATCAGCTGTACGTACTGGTGGCAGAGCACTTATGGTTTACAACCGTGTGCAATGACGCTGGTTCACATCTGCCGACTTTTCCTTT